CAGTTTGGAGCACAGACCTTCCTGTCCTTGTGTGGCCCACCCAGGCCTCTATCCAGGATGAGCACTGGTACTTGTCAGGCCCCCTACAAGGGACACCAGTGTGTGTGCCTGTGCACACAGGTGTGGGTTGTGGGGGTGGGAGTGGGGATTGTAAGTTGGATGGACGTGTACTGGAATCCTACCAGAGGCCTCTGAGCTAAGAGAAGCAAGAGTTTCTCCTCTGCTCAGCATGTGCTAGCTCCTTAGAGAGATAAAGAATACCAGGAGAAATTCAGCTAGGGCCCCCTTTTATTGCAAGGGATAGGAAACCCTTTCCTAGACCCCACCAGTGAGTGGACACATCTGCTTTTCCTTAAAGGCAGGAATGGAGCTGCCTCTTCCCCAGCACTTTCATTTACTGAAAGAGGGTCTGGGGTTTGATGAAGAATTTCCAATTTCTTTTTTTTGAGAGACAGCTCTGTGTCGGCAACTTAAACCAAGAGTTGCTCTTCCTTTAAAAAAAAATTATTTCTTTACTTTTGGTTGCACTGGGTCTTCGTTACTGTACATGGGCTTTCTCTAGTTGTGATGAGCAGGCTTCTCATTGCAGTGGCTTCTCTCGTTGCGGAGCACAGGCTCCAGAGCTCGAAGGCTCGGTAGTTGTGGTTCACGGCCTTAGTTGCCCCGCAGCATATGGAATCTTCCTGGACCAGGGATGGAACCCGTGTCCCCTGCATTGGCAGGCAGATTCTTATCCACTGTACCACCAGGGAAGTGCCACAATTTCTACATCCCAGACTCTGCTAACAGGCACAACTTGATTGCTTTTTCGTTTTGTTTTTATTTAAATTGTGGGTGAGGTCAAATGACGTTTAAATGGTTTTGTATCTGGCACCATCCTGGGAGGGCTGCCCAGGGGTGCTGGCTTCCAGGCACTGTCTGTCCAGGCCCGCCATGCAGGGCGAGTGGTTTACACACTGCACAAGCAGAAGCCACGGCGACACGTGGGGCTAAACTCCGCCCACACGCAGCTCACGGAGCCTTGGGTCCCGCCAAGACTGTGTCCACCACAAGGAAAGGCCTGTGTTTTTGCTTCTGGGCAACTTCTCACAATCTGTCTGGATGTGTCAGCTGGCAGCTAAGGCCCAGGTATCCCTCTGCCAGGCATTGTCTGCTGCTTTTTCCCACAGCAGGTGGCTTCTCATCCTCTGGGCCTCAGCTTCAATGGGGCCTTCTCAGAGCTGCCTTTCCCCACCCACAGTCTAAGGCAGGTTCCTTTCTCCTCTCCATCCTTCCTTGGAGCTCAGCCCTTTTCCCCTCCATAGCACATGAGTGATATAGTTGCTCAGTCATGCCTGACTCTGCAACCCCATGGACTGTAGCCTGCCAGGCTCCTCTGTTCATGGAATTCTCCAGGCAAGATTACTGGAGTGGGTTCCGTAGCACGTAGCACATTTTAAATGACTTAATAGGGGACTTCCCTGGACCTTTGCAGATCCAGTGGCTAAGACTCCATGCTCCCAATGCAGGGGGCCTGGGTTCAATCCCTGGTTGGGAAATTAGATCCTGCATACCACAACTAAGATCCTGCGTGCTGCAACTAAGACCCAGTGCAGACAAATTAAAAAAATAAAAATAAAAATTTAAATTAATTAAGAAATGACTTAATAGTTGGTTTGCTCTCTGTTATCTGTCGTCCCCCCTCCCCCATTAGAATGAGTGCCAATCACATTGCAGATGTTCAATAGACGGTGAGTAAATAAATGACTGAATAGATGATGAGACATACGGGGCATAAAGAAAGAGGACTGTCACTTACCAGCCCTCTTTGCAGGTTGCACACCTTGGGGACAGCTGTTTTCTGTCCTAATGGCTGGACATCTAGGAATCAGGCTCCATGTGTTGAGAATCCTCTGGAAAGAACGGACTCACAGCCATGGAGTAGGCTGGGACTGCTTAATTTGTCCATATAGTTAAGCATTTAATCTGCACCCAAGAAAGGTCTGACCTTTGCCCTAGACTTCTGGAAAGAAATCTCAGCACTTGCAGTGTCATGCCAGATAGGAGTATCTTTATTTAGGGCAAGGGTTAGGCCACAGGGTTTATCCTGTGGCCACACAGGATAAACTAACAATGTGATTCAAGGTGGGGACTGGCCATGCAGGATAAGCTAGCAGTGTGATTGAGGGTGGGGCTTTGATTCTCACGATATCAGCTCGACGTCCAGAGGGACTGGAGGCTGCTCTCAGCTGAGTGGAGAGTCGATTACAGAGCCCCAGTGAATCTGGGGACGCCAAGGCGTGGGAGAACGTCCCTGGTTGGCAGTGCTCCCTGTGTTTGTCACACATCACCGCTGGAGGACCTAACCGTGCCGGGAGTCCACTGGCAGAGGACAATGGGGTGCTCTGCCCGGGCTCTGCCCCGTCATGTTTCTCACCTTCTGGCTGGTCTCAATCTGCGCTCTTTCTGTGTGGCCAACCAGGAAGCTTAGTGGCCCTCGGTGAGTTCCGCCAAGTCCTTCTAGTGAGTTATCAAATGTAAGGCCTGTCTTAGAGGCCTCAAACTTGCAACTTGCAACTGGTATTAACAGTGGGAATCATTCTGTGGATCGTACTCCCTCTAATGTTCCACTTCATGAACCCCCCACCACATACACACACACACATACACACACACTGCCCCGAACCCCCCACCACATACACACACACACACTGCCCTGAACCACCACCACACACACACACATACACACACACAGCCCCGAACCCCCCACCACACATAGACACACACACACACAGTGCCCTGAACCCCCCACCACATACACACACACACACACTGTCCCGAACCCCCCACCACACACAGACACACACACTGCCCCACCCCCCCACCACATACACACACAGTGCCCCGAAACCCCCACCACACACATACACACACACTGCCCCGAACCCCCAAACCCTACACCCACACACAGTCTTCTGAACCCCCCACCACATACACACACACAGTGCCCTGAACCCCACCATTACATACACACACATACACACACAGTGCCCTGAGCCCCACCACTACATACACACACACACATATACACACACAGTTCCCTGAACCCCACCACCACATACGCACACACACACAGTGCCCTGAACTCTCCAGCACATACACACATACATGCACACACACACACAGTACTCTGAACCCCACCACCAGACACACACATACACACAGTGCCCTGAACCCCTCCACCACATGCATGCATGCATGCACACACACACACACACACACACACTGCCCTGAACCTCACCATGTACACACACACAAAGTACCCTGAACCCACACACACATGCATGCACACACACGCCTGCACATGCCTGCACACACATACGCACACGCGTGCACACACACACACACTGCCCAAGGACTGGCCTCTCCTGGTTTCTCCTAGCTGACTGTGGTCTGTCGTCAGCCCAGGTGTCTGCCCTGGTTGGGACCACACCACCTGCTGGTTCTTATTCCCCAAGGCCTCCTTCACGAGCTGGGGAGTAGCTGCTTCCTCTACTCCTCTTTCCCAGCTGCTGGGGAACTTTCTTTCCCGAGTAGGCAGTGACAGGTAGACAGGTCAGCAGCCAAATTGGCTAGAAGCCCAAGTGTCCCTGCCGTTGTCCCCTCCCCAGTCTCTCCTGTCCCCTGCTCTGTGATTACTCTAGTCTGTGCTGGAGGGGAGACTGTGGAGGACGGGCCGACCAGCAAGGGTTTTCTCTGGAAATGCCTGAGCTTTCCTAAAACTTGTTAGGACCTTGCTTCCTCCACTGCCCACCAGCTCCCCCAGCGACCCAGGGCAGACACCAGGGCAGAGCCACAAAGTTCCGGCCACAGTCAGCACAGCCCAAGACAGCAGCTTTCGATGCCTCTCCAAGTTTTGAAGTTTCAGGTTCAAATCTAAACTTAGCATCCTTGCCACCCTGGCATTATAAAACCAGCTCTTCTATGAGTCTTACGTAAGAAGATAAGTCCCTTTATTCCCTCCCTAACTGCTCCCCAGCTCCTCCTCACCTCTGGGGAAATCCTTGCTTCCCCTTAACTGTGCTAACCCTCCACCCCCACCCAAGGAGCTCACCCCTCCTTTCCCTAAGCCCCAAACACAAAACTCATTATTCCACCCACAGCAAATCTGAAGGAGAGAACCAAGTTTGGCTTCCTCCCTGCCTGGTGTGGTTTCAGCATCATCCTACCCAACCACAGAGGACTGGACGTCATGACCTCCTCATGACCCTGAGCCTCAGCCTCACTCAGCAGAAGGTAAGGAAACACACTTTGTTTTCCAGGGGTTATGGAATGGATGGCTTATTCACAAAGCCTTTCAGGGAAAATAAATAAATCAAGTTACCAACGTCTTAAAAGACACACAGGTGGCCTAAAGGAAAAACCAGCCCAAGAAAATCCAAACTTAGTACACAGAAATGGAAAAGTGATGCTTCTGAAAATGAAGTGCACATGAGAGTCATCTGGAGGGCTGGTGGAATGTGCAGGTGGCTGGGCCTCCCCCTTAAGCTTCTTTGTTAATATTTCTGGGGTGGGGAAAGCACCTGCATTTTTCACAAGCACCCCGAGTGATCCTGGAAGAGCAGCCTCAGAGAATGGCTGTGACCTTATGTAATTTCACAGGAAGAAATTCAGGGTGTGGCTGCTCTGAACACCAGCTCCCTGAGGTACTAAATAAAATCAATTTAGAACATTTTTTAATACCCCTCTTCATCAAGATCTTTGTGCTATAAAGAGGGATGACTGTCTAGGAAGATGCTTTACTTTTTGCCCTCGTCCTGTCCCTCTCACTCATTCATTCGGCCAATATTGACTGCAAGTTGCTATTTTCCAGACACTGGCCTAAAATCTGGGGATCTGGGTTTCCCTGGTGGCTCAGTGGTAAAGGATCCGCCTGCCAATGAGCCGTCCATTCCATAACTCCCTGCAGGAGATACAGGTTCAACCCCTGGTCCAGGAAGTTTCCACATGCTGCGGAGCAACTAATCCCATGCGCCACAACTACTGAGCCTGCGCTCTAGAGCTTGTGCTCCACCATAAGAGAAGACACCACACTGAGAAATCCATGCTCCGCGACTAGAGTAGTCCCCACTTGCTGCAACTAGAGAAAAGCCCTCACAGCAGCTAAGACCCAGCACAGTTTGTAGCCTAGTCCCCTGCAAATAAGAAGCGCAAATACCCTGCTGGAGAGAGAAGCCCAGCTGCCTTCCCACCCCCACTGTCATCCCCGGTAACCATCTAGAACACTCCAGCTCTGCCAAGCTGCCAGCTAAATGCAACCACAAGCATGGCCCCAGGCAACACCATATGGAACAGAGGAACCTCCTAGCTGAGCCACTGCACTGGCGCAGGCTTCGGATGAGTGTGGCCCAGACAATGGCGAGAACAGCAGTGAAGGTGGGGAAGGTGAAGAAGTAGATGAACATGTAGGGCTCAGTGATGGAGGTGATCCTTCTGGCTGTGTATTGAGGGGCTGATGCTGTCTGTACTGAGCTGGGAGCTCTGAGGAAGGTCAGGTATAGAAAAGACAGCGAATTGGGATTTGGCTATTGGAGGCACCAATCAGCATGGGGGAAGGAGAGTCTGAGAAGAGGAGAGAGCAATCAATAAAGTTGACCTGATTTTTTTTTTAACAAGTACATCATTAAATATTTCACCAAAATAATAGGAAAATGTCCCATTCCCCCTGACTTCCCTGGTTGCCCCACACCCTGGCTGGCCTCATTTGGGGCTTCCCTGGCCCAGCCTTGGGCTTCCCGAGTGGCTCAGAGGGTAAAGCATCTTCCTGCAATGCAGGAAAGAGACCCAGGTTTGATCCCTGGGTTGGGAAGATCCCCTGGAGAAGGAAATGGCAACCCACTCCAATATTCTTGCCTGGAGAATCCCATGGCCAGAGGAGCCTGATAGGCTACAGTCCATGGGGTTGCAAAGAGTCAGACACGACTGAGCGAGTTCACTTCACATTGGTCCAGCCTTAGGGAGAGGCCCTGAACTGGAGCCCCACTGGAGCCCACCTGAAGGCAAGCTGCTTCCCTGTGTTCCAGGGCTGGTTGAGCCGAGGGTGCACCCCCAGCCACCCACCAACAGGTGGCAGCACATGTCATGCCTGTCGCCAAGAGGCCTCTGAACAACAAATTCTAAGAAGCTTTTCCTGTGAGACAGGCATCAGTCTCCCTCATTTACACTGGCAGCTCATCTTCAAAGATTTCAGGCCACTAGGGTGCTGGGCTGGTTTTCTCATCCAGCTCCAAGGGCAACCTCCATGGAGCACCTGGCAACATCCGGAGAGACTTTAAATTGTCACCACAGGGGAGCATGTGCTTCAGGTGGATACTGGTGAGAGGCCAAGGCCGCTGCCAAGCATCTTACACAGAACAGCCCCCGCAGTGGGAGTTATCTAGCCCAAAGGAGCAACAGTGCCGAAGCTGAGAAAACCAGTTTAATCAGATTCTCAAGAGTGGGTGCCCCGGGAGGTCTCCGACATCCACAGACCAGGGGCCACTGGACTAGGCTGACTCCCAGCCTCCCCTCCCCCAGCAGCCATGAGAGGTCTCTGTTGCCTCCCTCACCTGCAGTCTCCTCTCTCCTCACAGACCTCACATCTTTCATGCCTCACTCGACAGTTCCTGATCCGCAAGCATGTCCTAGGCTCTGTGTTGGCCCTGGAGAGACCGCAGGGGACGAAAGCTCTCTGCCTTTTTCACAGAGCTCAGAGGCTGCAGGGAGAGACAGCGTATTTTCAAATATAACGAGTGCTATGTGGACACAGACAAGGCACTGAGATACCAAAAACTAGAGAGTCTTTAACCAAGGGGTTTAACCAGCTTTAACCAAGAAGACTAGAAAGGCCTCTGCAAGGTGACATTTGAGGTCTGAAGAAGGAACCACCTTCTTTTATTGAAATGACAATAAAATTAATACTAACACGCATTTCTTTGCATTACTCACCATCTCTCTCCACCCTTTTACCGTAACTGCAGCTATGTTCCTGTTTGTATAATAAATTCATCTCCAGACCTTGACCCTGGACTGCTATAGCATTTCAGCCATCCTTCAAGTATATATATATATATGTATAGTGTCATAAGTCTTTCTTCCTTGTTGCTGTATAGCTTGGTATTGGTCATTTGTAACAGCATTCAATGTTTCAGTGTGGGGAGAGTTTTCTAAATGGTTCCCCATTTCTTGCTCATTCATCCTGTGGGAAAAGGCATCCTAGTAATCTAATGAGAGCTTCTGGAATCATGGTCAGCTCACCAATCTCACCAGCCTGGAGTTGCCCTCCCCCTCTCCTCTCCTGTGAGTGTCCACTGAGGTAGGTGGGATGCCCAACATCTTATGGTGGGACAGGACCTTGAGATGGGCAAATGGGACCTCACATCAGGGGTCAAGAGGGAACCTTGATAAAGTATGGATTCCTGGGCTCTTCCCCCTTTGCCCAATCTGGATCTCAAGTATAGGTCAGTGTAGAGGGTTTAAAAGGGTTTCCCTGGTGGCTCAGTCGGTAAAGAATCTGCCTACAATGCAGGAGACCTGACCTGGGTTTGATCCCTGGGTAGGAAAGAACCCCTGTAGAAGGGAATGTCTACCCACTCCAGGATGCTTGCCTGGAGAATTCCACGGACAGGGGAGCCTGGTGGGCTAAAGTCCATAGGATGACAAACAGTCAGACATGACTGAGTAACTAACACTTTCCTTTTTTTTTCACTTTTCAGAGGATTTAAAATATGTCCACTTATTCTTTCACAGTCCTTCCTTCGAAAGATGAATCCTAGTTCTCCTTTCCTTGAATGTGGACCAGAGGATTTAGTGACTTGCTTCTCATGAAAAAACAAGCAGTAGAAGTGATACCATATGGCTTCCAAGGCAGCTCAGAAAAGACGTCAGAGCTTCTGCCCTGCTTTCCCTAGTATTGCTCACTCTGGGAGAAGATGGCTGTGTTATAAGGACACTCAAGTAGCCCTGAAACAGGCCCACGTTGGGAGGAACTGAGTCCTCCTGCTTACAACTGTTCTCTTTTGCCTGGGACAGTCCTAGAATTAATTCACACTAAAACCCCACATCCCAGGAAACTGCTTAGACCTGGGCAAGTAGTCCAGTCACCCCAACAGGCAGCACCACCTTTCCAGCCAGTCCCCCAGCCCCAGACCTGCCACTGCAACCCTGATCAATATTTCACTACAACCTCATGAAAGATTCTGAGCCTGTTTACAGGGCTGAGTCACTCTTTAACTCCTGACCTCCAGAAATTATGCAAGATAATAAAGGTTGTTTATTATGTCCCAATGTACTGACTGTTGTTTCAAGTCACTATATTGGAGCCAATTTATTAAACAGCAATAGATGAGTAATATGCTCAGGACTCTCTACTTCATGACACTCCTGGGTGACATGAGCTATGAATCAGCATGAGTGAACCATGGATCTGGTCTTATTCCCTAAAGCAGCACTTTCAAATAGATCTTTCTGCAAGATGAAACAGCGGTGCATTTGTGCTGTCCAACGTGATAGTCACTAGTCAGCTGTAGCTACTGAGCTTAGAAATGTGAACTGAATTTTTAAATTTTAATGAATTCAACTTTAAAGATTACAAGTATATAATTTAACTTATATAACATTCTCAAAATGACAAAATTATGGATTGGAAAGCAGGTTAGTAGTTACCAGGGGTTAGGGATGGTGGGGGAAAGAGTGATGGGTGTGACTATGAAATGGAAACTTGTGAGAGATTTTCATAGCCATGGAGTAGTTTGGGCCTTTTTTTTTTTTTTTTTTGCCTGCACCAGGCCAGTTCTTGGTGGTTTAGTCACTAAGTCATGTCCAAGTCTTGCAACCCCATGGACTGTAGCCTGCCAGGCTCCTCAGTCTATAGGATTTTCCAGGCAAGATTACTGGAGTAGATTGCCATTTCATGCTCCAGGGGATCTTCCTGACCCAGGGATTGAACCCAGGTCTCCTACACTGCAGGCAGTTTCTTTACCAACTGAGCTACCGGGGAAGCCCTTAGCTATGGCATTTTAGTTGCCTCATGTGGGATCTAGATCCCCAACCAGGACCTGGGTCTCCTGCACTGGGAGTGCAGGGTCTTAGCCACTGGACCACCAGGGAAGTCAAAGCCATGGAGTAGTTCTGTATCTTGATTGTGCAGTGGTTATGTAAAGCTACACATGTGAGAAAATGATATAGAACTATACACACATTGTACCAACATCAGTTTCCTGGTCTTGATATTATACTACAGTAATGTTAGATGGAACCATTGAAAGAAACGGGTGAAGGGTATATGAGACCTCTGCAGTGTTTTTGTAACTTCCTGCAAATCTATAATTATTTCAGAATAAAAAGTTTAAGTTTTTTTAAAATATGAGATAAGCATAAAGCATTAAATAGCATAGGTAGCTAGTGCCTAACATGTTGGAAAGTGAGGCCCTAAACAACGCACAGATCCTCCTGGAATATCTTCTAGTCACTTGGCCTCTGTTCAGAACTTCCTGGTGTCAGGGAACTCACAGCCTCTCAAGGTCTGTTTGGTGGCTCTAATAAGAAGAAAGTTCAGGCCAGCAGGTTTTGGGGTAGAAAAGTTTTCTCCTCACCTCTCCATTTGTGCTAGAATCATGAATTAGGCCCAGATTTTCTAGAACAAGTTCTCACCCCTAGGGAGCCCAGGGGACCCCACAGAAAAACTGCCCTCGTCACCTACCACTTTCATTACTATCACCAGTCACTCATGATATGGACCACAAGGACCTCACACTGTGTCCCAAGGCAGCCCTGGTTGACCACCTTGTCAGATTTAGAAGCAGCCATTACTGACCATTCCAGTTGACTAAGACAGAACTAAACCCAGGTATAGGATTTTAGACAGCGAAGAACCTCAAAAACCTTCTGGTCTTATACTTGCCTTTTATAGATGGGAAAATGAAGACTTGAAATAAATGTGTAAGGATCAAATCCACTTAGTTCAAGGAAGCATGTATTACCTGTAGTAGACTGAATAGCGCTACATGCTAGCTTTGAAGATTGGAGAAAGAGGCCGTGAACCAAGGGCTGCAGGCCTAGAGGCTGGAAAAAGCAAGGAAACAGACTCTCTCCTAGAAACTTGGAGGGGCCGTGACCTTGACAATACATTGATTTGGGCTCAGCGAAATCATTTCCAATATTTGGCCTCTAGAACTTTACTGCAGTCCATGGGGTAGCAGAGTTAGACACGACTGAGCAACTGAACCGAACTGAACACTGTAAGACAGTAAATTCATGCTGCTTTAAGCCACAACATGGGCTGCTCAGATAGCTAAGCTGGTAAAGAACCCGCCTGTAATTCAGGAGACCCCAATTCAATTCCTGGGTCGGAAAGATGCCCTGGAGAAGGGATAGGCTACCCATTCCAGTATTCTTGGGCTTCCCTGGTGGTTCAGATGGTATAGAA